AAAAAAAAAAAAAAAAAAAAAAATTGAAAAAACTTTAAGTACTAAATGAAAAAAACATTTGTCAAGAAAAAAAAAGAGTTGTTATAAGAAGCTATTAATCGATAGTGAAAACAATGTGCAGTAAAAGGTATAGACGTATCAATCATCCAATATGACAGCCCAAAGTTTCAGAATAACCAACAAACTGTTACCGATTGAAAATGGTTACTTGTTGTGATCGTCTAATGCAATGGTAAAGTTAGTCATCGTTAATGACCGGCGATATATTGTGCCAATACCTGTCAATTTTTCGCTGTATCAACCATCTTTAAAATACCCTCTACTAAAAGCTATATTTCCAAGGTTTGGTTTGCGTCTAACAGAGCAGCAGAGCATAGTTCAGTTGGCTAGAACGCTCTACATCGTTGTTATCAACATTCATTTAACTATCATCATCACCGATATACCCACACAAACACATTAGCATTGTATCCTGTCAATAAATTATTCTTTTAAAATAATCTTCTGTTCAAGGATATCCTTTTGTTTTGATAATGTTCAACAAGTTGAAGAAAAAAATAAAAGAAAATTTTTTCTTTGAACAAAAAGAAAAATGTAATGATACGTCCTTTGTTTTTTGTTGTTATTATCAGTTCTTTTCTTTTTTTGCTTTTTTCTGCAAATTAACATCATCAAAATACTGATGCTCGGCAACACATCAACATAATTTTGAATATTTATTGTTTAAGCGGTTTGATTAAAGTAATAGCAAACAAGCAAAAAGGAAAAAAAAAAAAGAAGAAAGGACAATGTAAATGACCGATATTCTTTTTTAGGCAATTCCCAAGGGTAAAGTCGTGCGGAAAATTAAGGATATTAAAATTTTTCTAAAAAAAAAAAAATCTAAATTTACAATACAGTTTATTTAAGCGGCTATATAACAGATGCAAAATCTGTCAACTGAATTGATGTGGTTTACATCTCAGCATCATTACAACAAGTAAACCTGACCAATGCCATATCCGGAAAAATACATTCTCCTGAACTTGCCAAAGAGAATAATTTGACAAAGGCAGCAATTTTCTGAAAAACTTTAGTGCCAATACTTTTTGAAAAGTAAAGAAGTTCCTTCTATTGTTTTTTTCAGAAATAACTGAAAAAAAAAATACAAGATTCCTCATAACAATTCAATTTTGCTTCCACTATGTCCTGCTTAACCATTTCTATTCGTCTAAATTGTACATTACTGCACCAGCTTACAGTCAACAATCTTCAGACGCTATCAAACAGTAAACAGATGTATTATGATGAAAGAGAATGCAGAATTTTGAGATGGGTAACTTTTGAGATATAAAGTTGTGGTCATTTAACTGATCTGCAGCGTAGAATTCCTGTTTACTTCGCTCATAGAAATTGAATAGCTTTAGCTGACTTTCCAATCAGCTCAGCTTTTGAATCATGCTGAAATATGCTGCAAATTTTTCTTTCCATTCGTTTCAACAATTCTAAATTTCAGTCTTTTCCAGTTTCAAAACTTTTTGACTCTTTTTTATTTCAAATCTAAACAATCCTGCATAAAGTGTTTTTTCAAACGGGGTAATATGCATTTTTTTTTTTTCAGGAAAAGCAACACAAAATTTGCAATGTAACGCTTCTTCTGCTTGTAGCATCGTTTCGTGACCTGCGTCTTGTTCAGTTCTGCCTATTTCCTTTTAATTGCAGCTTAATCTATCTACCTTCTTATCAGTGATGCTAAATGCCTTTTTTTTACATAGGTTGTCTTGCCCTTTCATTGAACATTTCAGGCCCCCACAATTCTCGTTTAAAGTTTTTGGTTTTCAGTGCTGTCACTGTCGATGGTGGTGCTTCTGCTTTAATCTTTTCCAGCCTTTTGTTTCAAATTTTTTTGGCGTTTCATTAAAATTTTAATTTTCATCATTTTAATTGTGATTGATGTATTTTATCTATTTTTCCTCTTAATTTTCTATTCATTATTCAATTCTTCGTGGTCCCGGAAACAAGCGGCTTCTCATTGTCTTTGAAAGAGAAGCCGCAGAACAGTTTTTGATAATTAATTT